TCTCTCTCTCTCTCTCTCTCTGTCTCTCTCTCTCTCTCCCTGCTGCCTGCTGATCCAGATGTAGAACTCTGGGCTCCTCCTTCCCCACCTTGTCTGCCTGTACCCTGCAATGCTCCCTGAAGTGACAATCATGGACTAAACCTCTGAACTGTAATCCAGTCCCAATTAAATGCTTTCCTTTTAAGAGTTTCTGTGGTCCTGGTATCTTCACAGCAATAGAACCCTAACTGAGACAAACAGTGTCACAAGAAAAGATCCAAAAGGCATTTGGATCAGAAAGGATAAAATAAAGCTGTCTTTGCAGACCATATGACTGTGTGAAAATCCTGGGAAATCTAGGAAACTATTTTTAGAACTCATCAGTGAGTTTTATAAAGCCAAAAGACTCAAGATTGATGTGTTGTTTACCATTCTTGTTGCTGTAACAAAATACTTAACAGAAGCAATTTAAGAAAAGAAAGGCTGAGCTGAGGATGGTGGCAGAGCCATTAATCCCAGCACTTGTGAGGCAAAGGCACCCAGATGTCTGTATCGAGGCCATCTTGATTTTCATAGCAAGTTCCAGGCTAGCCAAGGCTACCCAGTAAAAGTGTCTTAGAAAAGTAGGGGAGGGAGGGAGTTAGGGAGACCTGGGAGAAAAAGAGACGTTGGAATTATGTAGTGTGGCTCTCAGTTATGGGTTCAGTCTATAAGGATTGATAGGGAAAGCATGAAGCATGGCTGGTTACATTGCATTGCATCTGTAGTCGAGAAGCACAGAGAGATGAATGCTGGTGATCAGTTAGATTTCTTTCCCTCTGCAGTTTGGTACCCCAGCCTATGGATGCTGCCACCCCCACTTTCGTATACTCTAACCACATCAATTAACTTAATCTAGAAAATCCCACATCCAGATGTTGTCTCTCTCCTGATTCTACATCCTGTTAAGTTGACAATATAGACAATCAGAGGACTGGGGAGGTGGTTAAGTTAGTAAAGTGCTTGCCATGCAAGCATGAGGGCCCTGGTGTGGGTACTCAACACCCATGTACAAGCTGGGCAAGGCAGCATGGCTGTAACCCCAACACTGGGGAAGGCGGAACAGAGACAAGCAGAAACTGGGGCTTGATGGCCAGCAGTCCAGCCAGATGCATGAACCCAGATTCGGTGGGAAAGTTCTGTCTCAAAAAATAATGTGGCTAGCAATCAATATCTATATCCAGATGTACACACATGATCACTAGCACATACATCACACATTTACACACAGACACACACACACACACACACACACACACACACGCACACGCACACGCACACACTGACACAAACACACATAACCAGTCAACAAACAATAAACAAACTTTAACTGTTTCTTGATACAAGCAAGGAACAAGCAGAAAGCAAACTTTACAAAACAATAACTAGAGATAAAGTGAAATATTTAGCTGCAAACCTACCAAAATATGGGGTCTCCATGAAAAAAAAAAAAAACACTCTATGAACAGAGCTCAGCAGAATAACTCATGATCCAAGAATCTTGGCTTATCCTAACACAATTCTTACTGAGCACCCAGTCTCTGTGAAGGTGATTCAGGCCTACTCTCTATAGTTAGTCCTTGTTAGATGTGGTGGCAAAACAGCAGTAACAAAGCTGTGTGCCCCACATTGGCTAGGCCCCAATGGACATTGAAACAATTCTAGCATCATGTGTCAGCCACTCAGCCCAATAAAATGAAAAGAAAAAAGAGCCCCAAATTCACAGTGTCAAACACTTGCCTGCCATTCAAATACATATCATAGGCCCCCCTCCTACAGTACAGGAAAGTACAGAAGAGAGGAGAGTCTAAAAGAAATGACAGTTACTCTCCAATATTTTATTACAGAGATCTTCCCAGCTTAGGTCAGAAACAGTTTCTCTGGGAAGTTAGTTAAGATCACACAGACAACTGTAATTGCTTAAACTAGAGGGATTATTTTTGAGAACTCTTGGTTGAACACCAAAAAGGCAAGCTGCTGAGAACAGGGAAGTAGAGGCTAGATAGACGGCTTGGTAGTTAGGAGCACTAGCTGCTCTTCCAGGAGACCTAGGTTTGATCACCAGAATCTATGTGGTGAACGGTGTGGAATAATCCTTTTGTACACTGTGAAGACTTGTTGCTCAGCTTGGTTTGATAATAAAACATGACTGGCCAGTAGTTAGACAGGAAGAACCAGACACAAAGGAGGCTGGGAAGAAAAAGGGATGGAGTCAGAGGAGACAAGAGCCATGAAGAAGCAACAGGAAGTTCTTAGGTGAGATGAACAAGCCTCAGGGCAGCATATAGATTAATGGAGCTGGGTTAATTTAAAATGTAAGGGTTAGCTAGTAACAAGCCTGGGCGAGCACTTATAATTAATATTGAAGGGACCAGCTCCCCTTTCGGCAGCCATAACAGCCGAACACGTGCTTGTCTGACCTTGTCCTAGACACTAGAAAGTCAGATGCCTGCCTCGTGGCAAGGAGCCAATCAGAAGTTAGCTGGTGGCTATGCTTTACGACCCTGGGTGTGCTTTACGGACAAGCGCACAGCAATGACGTACAAAGCATAGCAACCACCCTGGGAGGGCCTATGGGCCATAACAACCAGTTGGCCAATCAACACAGGGCAAGCCCTCCAAGCCTGGAGGCACACCAATTGTGAGCCTCTGCGTACCCCTAGATACTCCCCTTATGCTGCCCTACAAGATCTCTATACAGCAGTTCGAGCTGTCTTTGCTAGCCATCTGCCTTGGCGGGTGGGTGAAAGACCCGAGCTAACATGGGGTTAGTTTTTTAAAAAAACAATAAAGCCTCATGCAGTTTGCAGCAAGCTCTCGAATCCGCCTGGTGATTGGGGTGACGGAGGTCATGGCCTGGGACCCCGGATACCTGAGTTTTCCGGGGGTCTAACAATATTAAGACTCAGTGTGTTTATTTGGAAGCCGGCAGTCAGGACAGGAAAATTCTGCCTACAGTGGTGGCTTACAATCATCCCTAAGTGCAGCTCCAGGGGATCTGGTGCCTCCTTCAGACCTCAAGGACACCAGGTGTGTATGTGATATACATGCATAATGTAAACAAAACACGTTTACACATAAAATTAATTACCTAATTATTTAACTTAAAAGAATTGGAAAGTAGCTAACAGCCTAACCATGAATAAAGACATTAAACATTCACAGAAAACAAGATGCCCTAGAAAGAGATTTAAGAATAATCTGTTTACTTGACTGTACAATATGTTGTCACATCTCCGAAGTATGTCTTAAATATATTCCCTGGCTGGACCAGCAGTAGAGAAAAAGAAACAAAAAGAAGAGAATCCAAAATTGAAGGCAAGAGATGGGGAGTGTGAAGACCTACCAAATGCGTCCAAACACACCTTTAGCGATGTATCTTGCACTCAACAGCATTACCAGGCATGTGAGATTCAACAGCAAAGTGCGCCATCTAATGGCTGTCACTTTCATTACTACCCAGACCCAGCTGGCTGGGTCTTTTTAATTTTGTTGCTGTTATTGTTCACCATAGCACCCTCAGAGCCTAAAAGGGTTGCTGCAACATAGTAAATGCTGCATCAGCATCATCTAGCAGGGTTATATCACCCTGGCTGCACTTCTAATGCTTCTCCTCCAGCGTTTACTACGGGATTATTATACATCACAAGAATAGTTCAGGAGTTTGATGTATGTTTTATGTTTTATTTTTCTTTATGCCCGCAGTTGCCGCTGCCCCGCGCCCCACCCCCGCGCCCAAGCGGCGCCTCTCGGCCAGAGCGATCCTGCGAACAGGACAGCCAAGGAGATCGGAGGCAGCTGGAAGCAATGCGGCCTGAGAAAAGGCTGGGGCTAGTGGCTCCCCCCTGTGCTCCCTCCACCTACTCCCTTCCTGAGCATCCGCCTCGCTGCGCCTAACCGTATGTTTATATTCTTGTCTCTGCTTTACTTTACACAAAGTCATCACCAGCCAGTCTTTAAGAACACGGAGAGCTGAGTTGTCTTAAATCAACTAACAACCTGGAGGCCCAAGTGTGCGGGCATAAAGAACCTATAGCCTGTCAGAGCATCCCTTGAAAGTTTACGTGCCCCTTTATGGATGTGGGCCAGGAGTTAGTCTCATAGAGAGAAAGTAACCAGACACCTCATCAAAGACCAGTTGCCACCAGGCTCTCACCCAGGGGATGCTTGCCTGTGTTCACATTGCCTGATGCTGTGCAGTGAATCCTTGTCTAATGAGGTTTCCCCAAGGACAGTTTTGATGATTATACTTACATATACGTCTCATATTTTCAATCACTTTTCCTACCATAACACTATGTAAAGTCAAAATTCTAAAAGAAGAAAGAAAAAAACAGGGCACCAGTTAGGCAGCCTGGGCAATCTATGGGGCCTCTGGTAGTGGATCAGTATTTATCCCTAGTATACGAACGGACTTTGGGAGCCTATGCCACATAGAGGGATACTGTCTCAGCGTAGACAGACTTTGAAGATTCCCCCATGGAAGGCCTCACCCTCCTTGGGGAGCAGAAAGGTGATAGGATAAGGGGTCTGTGGGGGGCAGGGGAGGAGGGGAGGAAAGGGGAACAGGGATTGATATGTAAAGCAAGATTGTTTCTAATTTAAATTTTAAAGGGGGGGGGCGGAAGCAGTCCAAAGATGATTGATTAGTTTAAATGTCAAATGCTAGCAGCTAAACATCATTCAATCCAGAGAAAATATACATGCATGGAGACAGATTCAGGGTTCCCACTAGCAACCTTTCTGTGGGTAAATACATGGTGTCTGTTAAGGTTTTTGAAGCGTTTAAACTAATGCTGATATCACCATTACTGCCTAGATGGGAAGTGATGATTTACAACTTGCAAGCTGAGCATTGTGCTTCCTGCCTGTGTACCCTGGCACTCAGGAGGCTGAAGCAAAAGGGTTTTGAGGTGAGATCCTGTCTCAAAAACAGAACAAGATAAAAGAGTTCAACTTGTGGATTGTATGTTGTCTCCAAGAGGACTGCCAAATTATGTTCAAACTGACAGGGAACCCCCAAATCAAAGAAAGAAGGAAAGCAGCATTTCATCACGAGGCCAGTCAGAAACTCGGAACAGTGTTCATGACACATTCCATGGGTTTTCAAATAACAAGCAGGCAGCTTACTGTAATGGTTGTATGTAAGAAACAGAAAGAGAAAAAGCAACAAAACAGCCGCTTAACCTTTAAAACCTTCAGAATAAACCTGATGTTTCCCAACCCAACCATAGCAATGTCAACGGAACACCAACTACAGATTTGGCCTCAAAGGGGAAAACTCCAAGAACACACCCCCCCCCGGAAATGGGTAGACTCAGTGACTTGATCCAAAAGGAAGTCTTGGCTTAGCTCAAGCTGGACTGTAGGATTGCTGGCAGAGAGACAAAGCTCAATCTCAGAATTCCTCAGGGACCTGTGAAAGTTTCTGTCTGCCAGGAAGAGTAACTCAACTACTGAGATAAATGGTGCATACCAAGGCCACAGGACCCTCAAGTCCCCTCTCCCTCTACCCCAAACTTCCAGGTTGTTCCAGTTCACAGGGTGCCCCACACACACACACCCCTGCAGCTACCAGTTTGTCTTTATACCCCTCTAGGTTTTCCCTGTTCCTGCTCTTCCCTCTGCTCCCGAGAAACATACCCCTTCCCAGTCTGCTCCCTTCCTCTCTGCCCTGAGAGGTAGCCATGACTGCTCTGGCTTTCCCAAGGCTATTTCCCTCATATTTATAATAAAAATATCCGTCCCACTAATGGATCCGTCAGTGCGGGGGCTTCCGAGGGCCCTTGCGTACAGTGAGCTCATTTAACCATCATGCCAAAACACGGAAGAGGCTCACTGTGCCGAGGGCAGGGCGTCCGACAAAAGCCTGCTTTTGCTCTGTCCTGCAGGCATGATCACAACTCTCAGCCACTCCTATGCCCTCTGCCACCTCGACTTCTTTAAAAACAAGAGGAAGAAAATCTAAAGGCTCAGCTGGGCTCTTAACAGAAAATCGCTTTTCGACACCCCCTGCCCCCCAACACACACACACACACACACACACACACACGCGCGCGCGCACACACACAGTGCCTCTGCTCTCTTCTTTTCCCCTCTAGTCCTGGTTTCCTCCTTAGTTACCAAGTGTCTTCCCGCTTCTGTCTCGCCTCCGCCCATTAGTTCTTGCATCACTTTACAGTTCCGAAGGAAGGGTTTCGTCTCCCTCCTCTCGCCGCATCAGATGGGACAAACAGACACCTACAAGCCCTTTTGTACCCTGCACAGGCCTAGCGCCTTCCACCGTCTCTCTCTGAACCCCTGCAAATCCACCCACAGGCGAGGTTTACCCACCCTATCAAATCAGTCGCGCCCCAACCAGTTGCACACACCCGTTTTGGCCGG